AATAAAATCAAGAAGAATGAAAAAAAATAGAAGTTCATGTGAAACAGAACGACATATATTTATAAAAATTCAAACATTTTAGTTATTCTTTTTCTATGTTAAGAGTTATTAAAAACATGAGCCTGGTGTGGTGGCACACCCCTTTAATCCTAGCACTTGGGAGGCAGAGGCAGGCGGATCTCTCTGATTTCAAGGCCAGCCTGGTCTACATAGTGAGTTCCAGGACAGCTGGTGCTACAGGGAGATCCTGTCTCTCAAAAAAGTTACTAAAAACTGGGCTTGATGGCAGAGGCCTGAAATCCCAGCTGCTGTAGAGGCAGAGGTAGGAAGGAGTCTTAAGTCCAAGGCATTTGCTGGTCTATAGAATTAGTTCAAGGCCAGCTTGGTCAACTCTGTGTCAAAATAGGGCTGTATAGCTCAGTGGGAAAGCATTTGCCCTGTATGTGTAAAGTTCAATCCTCAATACCAGGGGTGGGGTAGGAGGAAGAGAGAGAAAAGGCCACCTAAATCTCACCAGGAAAGCTGTGGCCATCTGCCTTTTTTTGCTATGTAGCCCAGTCTTGCTTCAAACTTCCTTTCTTCCTCCTCTTCCAGCCTCAACTTCCCCAGTACTGGTATGTGCTACCATGTCTGTCATCAACTAAGCCTTTAAAACTATGCAGGATAAAACTCTGTAGTCCTAACAACAAGCGTATTTAGGTCCATAGCATCAAAGACTTGTGTAATCATGATATTTAAGGAAGAATACAGGACTTTACTTCCTGGGTCTTAAACAATGAAAAGGACAACATCTCGGAACAGAAAACCATGAAATTGGAAAAGTAGAAAATTTAAACAATAAAACTTTAAAGTGTTTCAATTTCTTAGTTGGAGCCAAAGAAGTGATAAAGCCAACAAAGAAAACTTTCTCCACATTTAAGGATGCTTTGGGCCAAACTTCAAACCTCTTCTGAGCCTTTTCCAAATCTCCTTTATATTCTCCATCAATTATTTCCCTCCTCTAAACTGGAGTTTTACATTTCTCCCTTAAAGCTAGTAACAGAATACAGCCGGCCCATTCTCTAGACCAAAGATTCAATCCACATCTTTGGGTTGTATCTTGGGAATGCAAAGGGCCGCAGTGTTTCAGTGAGTGGCAGGATGAGACTTTGGCTCTGTTCCTCCCAGGAACCCCAGGCCTTGAAGGCCTTTTGACGCTAGTTCCAGTATGATGGTGCCCCTGAAGAGCACGTGCGGTGTAAAGTTTCAGGGTAGCAGGAACCAGAGTCAGTCACGCTGACATTTTCTAAGGCAAACAGCACAATTTTGAAGGACAATTTTGGCCCAGTCTTCATTTTAGTGTATTTCAAAACTTTAAAAAATATGTATTTTATTATTTTTATTTTATGTGTATGAGTGTATCACCTGAATGTATCACTAAACCTCAGAAGAGGCAATACCACCCCAGCTCCAGCAGTAAATGCGGTCTCTGAAAGCCTTCTATTAAAATAACCTTAAGTGCAACAATTTATGATGGGAAAGTAGCATGTGTGGATTTGTGTTAATAAAAGAAAATGAGCCTGGGGTTTAAAATATGCCCATGGAAAGAGGACAGAGAAAGTGAACTTTGATCTGGGGTACCTCCAAAGGCAGTGCCTTTCCACGTGCGTCCTGTCACCAGCTGGAATGGACGAGTGGAGATTTCTTCACCTGACGCAGCTACACCAACCACCACGCTGACTCCCCAGCCTTTGTGGGCCGCCTCAAGGGCTGCTCTCTGCAGCACAGGCAAGACCAAAGCACAGACTGAGACAGTTTCCCTTTCCTCAGAGTCCTCTAGGGGAGGAGGAGGGATGACGCCGCATTCACAAATAGGACAACAAATCCCCAAACTTAATGTTTGGTAACTTTAATTTTATTAAACAATTATCTTTTAATAAGTATTTTTAAAAATTAGCCTGAATATTAAAACAAACTGGACACACATGATGCTTTTATTTGCTTTCTATTTTAAAACTGTATCTTATATTCACAATGCAGAAGAATGAATCTAGATCACTATCTCTCACTAGTTATAAAATCACGTACAAATGAATTTACACGTAAGTCCTGAAGCCACAAAGCTACTAGAAGAAAACACAGGGGAAATACTAGACATTGGAACAGGGAAGCATATCATTTATGTGTTTGTATATTATGTGTATGAGTGTTTTGCTTGCATGTACGTAAGTGCACCCATGTGTGCAATGCCAATGGAGGCCAGAAGACGCTGCTAGAGCCCCTGGAATTAGATTCACAGTTGGTTGTCAGCCACTAAGTGGATGCTGGGAACCAAACCTGGGTCCTTTGTAAGAGCAGCCAGTGCTCTTAACTGCTGAACCATCTTTCTAGCCTTGCAAACCATGTATTTCACAAAGGCTGATATCCAGAATTTACAATGAACTCCCAAAAGCCTCCCAAAACAACAAAAAGCCAAACTACCTGTTAAAATATGAGCAACAGATACAGACATTTCTCAAAAGAAGACATAAAGATGGTAAATATGAAAAAATGCTCAGCATCACTAATCATCAGGTTAATGCAAATCAAAACCACAATAAAATATTACTTCACTCCAGTAAGAATAACTATTACCAAAAAGGTTACTGAGGGACTTTTAAGAATGCTCTGTGAAAGGTAGAGGAGAAGCAGACTGTCCATACTGTCTACCCTGCCAGCCCCCAGGTTGAAGAGGTGAGAAAGGAGCCAGAGAGTGCTGTCACAACTGCCTAGGTATGGGATGCAAACAAGGATTCACCAGACAGGATGCAATGGCTCAGGAAATTCAGCCTGTGAGCGTGGAGTGCCAGGGCCACAATAAACAGATCAATCCCAAAGAGAGATTAACTTGCACTGTGAGGAAGCTGGTTTAAGAGAAGAGTCTAGAGTCTAGTAGTTGAAAAAACATGAAAGACGGGCAAAAGATAACATTCCACAGTGAAGGAAACCAAGGACAAAGCTGGAGCCAGGAGATACAGCACTGTTAGAGAAGGAACTTTTCATGTATATGGACACAAAGCTTCACGTGGTTAGAGCATTGCATGACAATCTAAAAGCCAATATCCACTCTTGACAAGCAAGCTAGCCACTGCTTCTCATCCAGGTCAGATTGTCATATATGGAGATAGTAAATGTGTGTAAACTGAAGGCAAGCCAAAACACCAGTGAGCACATGAAAAGGCCCAATCATTGAGTTTAAAATGATTGAGAAAATGACTTTCTCCTGATAAACTCTCTTTGCTGGAACACTGCTTTCTGAAAGGCAGTAAAAGAGTGAGAAAGTGGATCAGGCAGAACTGGTAGACCTTGAGCCAAATCAGGAGACAGCACCAGTTAGAATGAGCAGAATGTGAGGACTATGAACATCTTCTGAGGGGTGCAGCGGGTAACAGGGCTCTCAATGGGGCCAGTGAGTCACATGCTGACACCTTACATGCAGCAGTGAATGAGTGAAGGACTGTAATTGTAATATGCTTACTTTTTGCTATTGTTTTGGTTTTAATATTCAAAGACTTGTTATTGTTTTGGTTTTAATATTCAACTGAAGTAGTGTTTTAAAAGTTAAAGAAAAAGCACAAACACAAAAACCCAAAGACTTTACCCTGAATGTATGATGACTTGTATGCAACACGAAGTTTAATACCTGTAAAAACAACTTTAAGAAGTTCCCCAGCATCTGTTAGGTCACAACTTATACCCAATTGAGCTGTGTAAATGGACAGACTTAGACTGACAAGCTGTATGACCCTTTATTGCTAAGCTATGGAATTAAAATTCTGTATGTAATCACTGGTGGGATGGGGGGGCAGGTGGATCTCTTGTCAGATCAATGTCAGCCTGGTCTATATAGCAAATTCTAGGCCAGCTGGGGCTACAGGAGACCCTGTCTCAAGACACCAAAACCAACCAAACAAAAATTCTGCATCTAACTAGTAATCAGAAAAGACAACAATCTGTGGAGAGATGCTGGTTTATCTGGTTTGTGCTAAGTAGACTCGTGAGACCACTCTGCACTCTGTTGCCTCAAGCAATACTTGAGGGCGGCACAATATGATTGTTAGCTTTGTTAGCAGTGTTAAATGATTCCTTTGCAAAGTTCATCACAATGAGCTTCTGCTTCAGGGCTGACTCTTCTAGAACTGGATTCCCTTTTGCCATGCCATCTTTAAGAAACGTACATACACAGACACTTTTAACCAGTCCTGGTTCCATTATTTTCCCTTCTCTTTGGACTATAATAACTTCTTGAGTAGTAACTTCCAGAGCTGGGTAACTTAGAAATAAATAGCTTTAAAAATATTTTATTTTTATGTGTTTGAGTGCTTGCCTGCATGTATGTAAGTGCACCATGTTCCTGCAGTGCCCCTGGAGGCCCCTGGAACTGGGGTTAGGGACGGCTCTTAGCTGCCATGTGGGTGCTGGGAATCGAACCCACAGGTCCTCTGCAAGAGCAGTCAGTTCTCCTTAACTGATGAACTTTCAAGCCCCAAATTAAATAGCTTTAACTGAATGTTTAAAGTCATCATATGTTTACATGATTAAATCTGTGAATCAGAATTTAAACAATTACTGAAATGCACAAATGTCTCAATATACAAAGTATAAAAAAAGGTTAGTGATAGCAAATGCTTTTGAAGATGTGGAGAAAACTCTTGCATGCTGTTGGTAAAATTAGCACAGCCATTATGAAAAACCATATGGAAGTTCCTTAAAACAGCAAATATGGAAATGCCCTATGAACCAGCAAACCTACAGTATATATCCAAAGGGTATAAAACTGGCATGTCCAAGGGCCACTTTCACCCCCATGCTTACTGCAGCACATTACAAAAGCAAGAAACAGAAATAACCCTTGTCCACTAATAGATGAAAGGGTAAAGAAAATATGGTCCATAGACATAACTGAATACTACCCTAGTACTTGTTCCATAAAAAAGAATAAAATCTTAGTCCCAGCACTTGGGAGGCAGAGGCAGGTGGATCTCTGTGAGTTCAAGGCAGCCTGGTATACATAGTGAGTTCTGGGGCTACAGGGAGACCCTGCTTCAAAAAGACCAAAAAACAAAACAAAACAACCCCCCCCCCCAAAAAAAACCCCATCACTACAGCATTGTGGTTGGAGCTACAGGTCATTAAGTCAGGTACAGAGAGACCAGTATCTGCATGTGGAGCCCCAAAGTTGATCTAATAGAACCTAAGAATGGAACTGTGGTTACCAGACACAGGAAACACATTGATGAGGAGGAGATGGGAAAGTCAACTAGTGGGTGTGAGTTACGGATCTGTGAGAGAAGCGCTGGTGAGCTGTGTGCAGTGGGGCGACTCTGGATAACAATGGCATTTCATTCTCAAAAAGCTAGAGGGTTTTCAAAGTCTTCACCATAAATAAAAAAAGATAAACACATTTAACCAGATTTAAACAGTAAACATAAATACGGGATTGAACAAGGTAAACAATATGTATACTTTTTATGATTTTATGTATCAGTTTAAAAGTAAAAGTAAGCCCTAACTCATAATTCTAAAGATTTTAATACAAGAAGCTGGCAGGAGTACCAGCAGGACTCATTACTGTGTCTAGTTAGCATTAATAGGTGCTGCTAGTATATCTTACAGATGAGAAATAAAGGTTTGTTAACGTCATGGAGGTAACCTTTGCATTTAACACACATTCAAAGGCAAAGAAACATTTTTATGAATTTTCTCCTGAGCCATTCTTGTATCATTTCTAATTTATAGTTCAAATAGTTATTTTTTTTCTCTTCTTTCATTAGAATTAATTCCTATCAAGGCCTTTATTTCCTAAAAACAAAATCAACTTTAATGTTAAGGAAACTGCATTTTCAAAAAAGTTCTACCAACACTTACCATAACCTTGACATTGCCGATACACTCGAAGGAATAGTCCACTCCCCCGTCAGTCATCTCTATGAGCACTTCCTGGATGGGTTTACTGAAATCCTGGGGATTAATACATTCAGAGGCTCCAAATTCTTTGGCCTTCGCAAACTTATCTTTATTGATGTCCACGGCAATGATCCGGGATGCACCTGCCACTTTACAGCCCATGATAACTGCCAATCCAACTCCTCCCAGGCCAAAGACGGCACAAGTAGAGCCAGGCTCCACCTAACATGAAAGATAGTCTGTAAGTGGCCCACCCCACAGAATCAAAAGCGTCACAGACCACCAGCCCAGGATACCACTCCAGCAAAGCTTTGCTGAACTGAACTGTATGGCAGAAGCCAGAGCCCAGGCCATTCTCTTACCTTGGCAGTGTTGAGAGCTGCACCATAGCCAGTAGAAACTCCACAGCCAAGAAGGCAGACTTTATCCAAGGGTGCTGAAGGATCAATTTTAGCAACAGAGATGTCAGCCACAACTGTATACTCAGAAAATGTGCTGGTTCCCATGAAGTGCAAAATTGTCTTTCCTTTGCAAGAAAATCTGCTAGTACCATCTGGCATTAGTCCTTTTCCTTGAGTGACTCTGATGAAGAAGAAAAGAAAGGAAAATGGCAGGGTGGACTAACATTTCTTAAAATCTATAAGAAAAAAAACATCAGTTTAACAAATAGCCAGTAAGTATTCAAAAAAGTATACTAAGATGGAAAGTCTAACTTCTGATGTACTCAGTAATAACTTACCATATTTTAGCAATGCCTTATTAAGTAAACTTATGAAGATTAATAATCTTACTCTTCTTTCAATTATAGAGTACTGAACTCAACAGATACAACTGAAGGATCAGGTGACATTATTTGAAAATTCCATCATCAAAACTTATGAGCAAATAAATATATTCATAAAAGATGAAGCCCAAACTGGAATTTACAAGAGATCATAAACAATTACTCAGTTCAGATGAAATGACTCCTATGGGCATTCTTCAATAGGGTAACAGTTCTCAAGGATTTGAGTTGTATTTCCCCTTTGTTTTGAATGTGTGGGTAGTTACCACTAGAGAAAAAATAAGCAAGCAAACTTGGCCTCTCCAACACACAACTCCAAAACTCACAAAGGCAACCAATACAATAATCAGTAACAAAAATTACTTGTGATATCTTGGGTAGGGGACTGACATCTGCTTAAGAGTACAGGCTCTAAGTCAGATCACTTGGTTCAAAGTCTGCATGACCTTGTGCCATTTCATGAATGGCTGCTTTTGTTGCCTCACTAAAAAGTATGGAGCTCCATCTTCCATACAATTATTGCTATAAAAATCTGATGACATGGCATCCAAAGCATTAGCCTCCTGTCCAGAACAGTGTAATGGTTTACTAAACATTTGGTGTGTATGGATGTGTACATGTCACGCACAGTGTGTATGTAGAGGTCAGAGGATACCTTTCAGGCATTGGTCTTCCTCTTTCCACCTTGTCTGAGACGGGGTCCCTTTGCTGCTGTTTGCCAAGCTAACTTAACCTTGTGCTTCTAGGGAACTCTCCAGTCTCCACCTCTCATCTTCCCACAGAGCATGCTGGGATTACAGATGCCTGTGCTACTGCAGCTGGCTTTTATGTGGGTTCTGGGGATCTGAACTCAGGTCATCAGGCTTGTACAGCAAGTACTTTTACCAACTAGGTCATCTCCTTAGCCCCAACATTTGTCATTTTTAATAAACATAATAACCTGATGCACACACTCAAATAAATGTAAGAGCAGAGAGATCTTACACACAGCACTGGTAGGAGCATGAACTCGAGCATTCACATTGGAGCTGTACATGTGCTTCTCACAATGTAACTGAATCACAGGAACCCCCCAGAGAAAGTAGCACCAAACATGTATAAGAATGTAGCGAATCATAACAGCCCCAAGCAATGGGCAAGTGTGATAAACAGTGATATTTGAGCTGGACAACAGAGCAACAGAAAAGTAGAGATGCACACAGCAACTTGGACATATAGACATTACAAATTCAAGAAGCCTGACACAGCACATGCTGCATGATCCATCTACACAATGCTCCCCAGGGAAAGCCAGCAGCACAGAGGTTACCTCTCTGAGTCAGGTACTGACTTGGAAGGGACATGAGGGGTTCAGAGGGTGCTCGAAGGAATCGCTACCTGGGTTTGGGTAAAGGTATGTATATATGTAAACATTCATTGGGCTGCACATTTAAGATTTGTATCCATAAGTACTGTATTGATGTTACGTTCTACCTCAATTTTTAAAAAGGGCAGCAAACAGGATCTAAATTGCCTCAAAGAAGTTCCTTAAGCAGTATTACCACACCTTACAATAGAATTACCTTTTCTGTGTCAAGGGTTTGTTATGTAGGTGTCTCACTAATGTGTGTTAACTTTTATACTCTGGTTTAAAGGACAAAAAACAGCTCATAAAATTACTTAATCTTACAAATATCATTCCATGCCAGTCATAGAAAGAGAATGGGTTCAGAAAATTCTGGGTTCATTACTCCCCAGCCTTTTCTTCTTTGGCTTTTTCAAACAAGGCCATACAGTCTGTAGGATAGACGTAGGACTTGCTAGGTAGCCCTGGCTGGCTTCAAACTCATGATCTTCCTGCCTCCATCTCCTGACTTCTGGGATTACGGGTGTGTGCTACTACTCCTTGTTACAAAATTCTGTGTTATATCTTAATGGCTGGTGATACTGGACAAACCCTGAGATTTCCAAGTCTTGATTTTCTTGTCCTTGCAAAAGGTGAGATTAGCAAGACAGTGAAGCTGCACTAAAGACGGACTGACGGGTCAGCAAAATGCGCTGCACAGACCGCCACACACTTACTGCTTATGTGATCTCTTATTTGAAGAATATATTAAAAGAGGGATGGGGAGATGACTTTGTGGTTAAAAGTGTTTGTGACACAAGCATGAGGACCTGGGTTCAAATCCCCAGTACCCATGTAAAACACCAGGCATGGCCCCATGTGCTTGTAATTCCAGTGCTGTGGGGAGGGGAGGAACAGAGACAGGTGGATCCCAGGAGCGTCCTGGCCAGCCAGCAGAACTGAAATGGTGAGCTTCAGGTCTAGTAAGAGACCTTGTCTCAAGAGAATAATGTGTTTGGGGGACTTCCAGGTCTTGCTCTGGTCCCTGTTATGTGTAGACACACCCACACACGTATATACACACCACATACACACATAAAGTATTAAAAATTTTTTGATTTTTTTTATGAGTGTTTTGTATGTAAGTGCACCCATGCAGGCAATGACCACGGAGGCAAGAGGAGGGCATCTCATCCCTCGGAATTGGGAGTTATGGACAGTTGTTAGCTGTCATGTGGGTGCTGGGAACTGAACCTAGGTGCTCTGCAAGAGCAGTACCCTTAACCCCTGAGATACATCTCCAGTCTCAAACACCAGAAAATACTAAAAAAATTTCTTTTTTAAATCTGCTTTTTGTTTTTGTTTTGAGACACCGTCTCCCTGTAGCCCTAGCTGTCCTGGAAATTGACAGGTAGATCAGGTTGGTCTTGATCTCAGAGAGCCACCTGTCTCTGCCTCCCAAGTGCTGATATTAAAGGTGTGTACCACCACCCATCTAAATGATACACACACACACACACACACACACTTAAAAAAAGAATGTAATAAAAGATACTAACCTTATCTTCTGGCAAAGGTTTGTTTTAGGATTTAGACAAAATTTGCACTCTCCACACTGGGGGATGTAGAGTGGGATGACAGTATCACCTGGGAAACAAATGGAAAGTTATTACCCTGAATGGCGGTATCTTCTAATGAAAACAGCACCCCCCTTAGCCCTGTCACCTGATGCAACTCTGCAAAGAAACAATTTCTCAGCTTAAAAACTTTGCCTAAATAGCATCTTCAGATGCTGACTAGCCAAACAAGAAATAAAAGTATGTTTCAAAGTTTTTGATCTAAAAGAAACTCTAAATAATTGGAGAACAAGGAGAGCACGTGTTTCAAAAAATACCAACTCACTGATGCATCTCTAAAAGCTCTTGTTGAATCTATCAAAACTGGTTTTGGCAAGGTACCCAAAACAGCTTCAAATGAAAAGCAGCCTGCAAATCAGAGGGAAAAAAAACCCCAAATGCTTGTGCTTCTTAGATGAGAAATGAAATCAATCTTGACAACAGTGTTATGTGATAACCTGTTCATAAATAAATAGCTTCTAAGGTTTATCAGAAAAGCAACATCCCAATAGAAATAAGCCAAAAGCATCACATAAGTGGTTCAAATACTTTGCTTACCTGCCTTCAGATTGGTAACCCCTTCACCAACACTTTCCACAATTCCAGCACCTTCATGTCCCAGGATCACTGGGAAACGCCCCTCAGGATCAGCTCCGCTCAGGGTATAGGCATCAGTGTGGCAAACCGCAGTAGCAATAATCTACCAAGATAGTAAAAAGCACCCAAGTGTGTGTACATGCACAACTCATGAGATACAAATCAATTGAAAGGCACTGTACTTTGATAGCACATTTCGAAGATTTTCAGATACATTTCTTTTTTTGCTTTTCTAAAAGAAGCAAGTATTATAATCAACGACATCCTAACAATTAGACTTGGCAGCACTTTTTGGTTGGTGGTAGTGGCAATAGTGATGCGTTTCACTATTCACCAGCAATTCCCCAGGGGTGAAAGCTGAGCTCACTGTGCTCTAACTGCTGATTGTAGTATATCCAGGACAAAATGTTTTCTTTAGTGGCAAAAGCACAAGCAGCTTAATTTCCAAACTTGAACAAAAATACACAAAGAATTATAAGGCTCAGACTCCTGGGTCTAGGTTGAAAGGACTTTGACAAGTATTAGCTTTTCGTGCTTCTCCATCAGATATGCACAGACCTCACGGGCAGAGGCTGGTGTGCTGTATGTGTTTGGAAGGAGGACGACAGCAGGAAGGGAGCGGTAACTCTTCCTTGAATGAAATATTTTCCCAGAATGTTATGAAACAAACAGTATGTAATGGTCACTGCTTTAAAGTATTAACTTCATATCCAAAACAAGTAGAGTAGGATGCTAAAAACATCTTACACATGTCAAGGGAGCAAAGGTCTCTCCTGTTGGCTGCCCTCTCTCCAGGGGTGACCTCCTTTGTTAGCCACAGTGGAGGGTGAGAAGCAATGGACTAAAGGAATCCACCGAACCCCAGCCTAGTCCACCAGGCCAGGACAATGTAAAGCTCTCTAAGCAAGACTTCATTTCTTTACTGCTGTAGTTAGTCAGGAACCTCCTTCCAATTTTATGGAAAACTGAAGACCATTTCTTATTCTTTGATTCTAACTGGACAGCATACTTTGTGAGTCATGGGATCAGCAGAAAGGAACAGACCCTACAAAGCCACTTTAAAACCAAGCTATAAAGTTACAATGCGGGCATCCACTCATCCATTTGGCTACTCGACCTTAGAGCAAAGCCAAAAAGATGGAGAGGGCCGTTGTGAGAAAAGGTAAGGGAGGAGACTGTGATTCTGAGGCTGGAAGCCTTCCACTGCCTTCTCCTTGACACTGCCCTTTGGGCTTTATCCTCTGCAGGTCTCAGATCTACCTGCCCAGAGACCTAATTACAAGCCTTTTCTCACAGGGCTTTGGCTGTATCGTTACCTTAATTCGAACTTCATGCGCCTTTGGAGGTGCTACCTCTATCTCCTCTATGGAGAGAGGCTTTCCAGCCTCCCAGGCCACTGCAGCCTTGCACTTGATGACCTAAAGGCAAAAAAAGGGAATACGTGGTTCATCCTCCTAAATTAATAATTCATCATCAATTTGGGTAACGATGAATGCTAATCTTAGAAAGTACACCAGGGCTGGGAGATGGCTCAGTGGGTAAAGCACGTGCTATGCAAAGCATGAGGACCTGAGTTCACATCCCCAGGACCACACAAATACCAGGCGGGTGTGGTGCCTTGTCTGTAATTCTAGCACTTGGTAGAGACAGGATCCTGAGGCAAGCTGGCTAGCAAGACTAGTCATATCAGTGCACTCTCGGTACCACTGAAAGACCCTGCCTCAGTAAACATGGTGAAGAGCAGCTGAAGAAGATTCCAATGTCAGCCTCAGGCCTCCACATGCACAAATGTGCACCCATACACATGCAAAGATGCATACACACACTCGCGTACCACACACACATGCAAAAATAGACAAAAGGAAATAAAAAATACCACATACTCAAAAAACCATACACCTGAAGTGATAGGAAATATTGTTTTCAGACTTCATATTTAACATACTTTATAAAAAGATTTAATTGAGGGGCTGGAGAGATGACTCAGTGGTTAAGAGCACTTACTGTAGCCAGGCATGTTGGTATACCTTTAATCCCAGCACCCGGAGGCAGAGGTAGGAAGATCTCTGTGAGTTTAAGGCCATCTTGGTCTGGTCTATAAAGTAAGTTCTAGGCCAGGACCCTGCTTCAAAAAGACCGAAAAAAAAAAAAAAAAAAAAAAAAAAGACCTGTTTTTCTAGAAGACCTGGGTTTGGTTCTTAGCACCCACATGACAGCTCACAATTGTCCGTAACTCCAGTTGCAGGCCCCTACAAACGTGGTGCACATAGGCACACACATACACATAAATAATAGTTAAAAAAAAAACTTTAAAAAACATAGGTAATTGAGATTGACTATTTGATTAGATATAAAAGTCTCTTTTGGCTACAAAACTTTACTTATTGGGGCTGGAGAGATGGCTTAGTGGTTAAGGGCACTGGCTACTTTTGCAGAGGACTTGGGTTCAGTTCCCAGCAGCCACAAGGTGGCTGTCTAACAACCATCTATAACTCCAGTTCCAGGGGATCCAATGCCTTCTTCTGACTCCATGGCACTGCACAACAAGGGTGCACTTATATACATGCAGGCAATACAGTCATACCCATAAAAATAATAAATTATTAAAAAAACTTTATTCATCAATATTTACTGATCTTCTACAATGCATAAAGAGCAGGTTAAGACTATAGGTCCCAGGCCAGCAATGTAGCTCAGTGGTAGAGCACTTGCCTAGCAATACAAGGCCCTGGACTCCATATCCAGCACAGCAAAAGTCAAACCAAAATGAACAAACAAAAAACTCCACCCTGATCCTGTGACTAGGTTTGACAATTCAAGGAATCACACATTTAATATGTGTCTTACTCCTCTTTTGCTGGGATGGCTTAAACAGCACCAGTTTAGTGCAAAACTGCTAGTGAAAAGGTTCCTAAGAGATATCCAAGTGGGGGATATGTCAAATAACATAACTATCCCTCATAAGTATGTTATCTAATGCAGTAGCCATCTGCTGTGTGTGGCAACTGAACACTAGGAAGGATATCCTATAAATATAAAGTATACACAGATTTTGAAAGCTTAGTAGAGAAATGGGTAAAAGTATCTCAAAGCCTGCCCCCAGTGACATGCTTCCTCCAGCAAGGCCACAGCTACTAAATGTCCCCAAACAGCACCACCAACTGGAGACCAAGTGTTCAAATACTTGAGTCTAAGGGGAACACTTCTCATTTAGACCACACCACATACACATTAGAATTAATTTCATGTCTTCTTTTTTAATGTGGTTCCTGGAAAATCAAAAATTTCATACACAATTTATATCAGGTATCTACAACATAAGGCTGTCATAGATATTAGTCAGTCCAGGCCTTCATTACCAAAAAAGCCTAATGAAGACCATTAGATCGTTAGGCTTTGATCAGTTCACATGATGCTTGTGCAATGTGTTGACAGAAAAAAAGGTTGCAAACCACTGGGTTTGTAGGAGATGGTCTTGAAAGTCAACAACTTAAAAAAATGTGATTTAAAGAAACACGCACACAGTGCTACACACAGAAGGCAAACAGTTAAGGAAAAGTATAACTTTAGTGGTTTGAAGAAACGTCACTTTTAATTTGTGGACTGAAGGATGACGGGGCAGCAGTAACAAAAGACAAAAGCATCTATAAACAGGACACTTATGAGCAGTGAATGAAAATTAATATGAAGTTCTTGGCATCTCTGCAAAAGTAAGCTGGAAGCTAAAAGTAAATTTAGGAAAGGAGTCACAGGAAGAGGGCTGAGTAAACAGTGATATAGATATGAAATCTGACAATGCAAAAATATTTAGACACTATGTTATATTTTCCACCTCAATGTACTGCAAAAGGAAATCCCAAAGGATCAAATTTAGAATACTAACAACTTGGTCGTGTAACCTAGATTTCCAAAGGCACAATAAAATTCATTCAGAATCCAAGTCTGATGACTTCTTGTTAAAATGTTTGAGGGGCTAGGCAGAAGACAGACAGTTCAGCAATTAAGAGCTCTTGCAAAGGACTGGGGTTTCCATTACCAGTACCCCCAATGGGAGGCTCACACCCACCTGTAAACTCCAGTTCTAGGCGATCTGACACCCTCTTCTGGCTTTCTCCACCTGCATACATGTTGCACACATACATACACTCAGGCACACACATATTCATATAAAGAAACAATGTTTGAAAGAAGCGTGATCTCCTCCTTACCGTGAGAATTCTAAGCAAACAAAGCCCCACTGTAATTCTGAGGACTCTGCAGGTCCTTCCACATTTGAACTACCCTGAGAGTTACAAGTTTTCACCTTCCAGAACAGCTGGTAATAAGGAAAAGTTGCATATTTAAGATTAAAACAGACCTTGTTCAGTTCTATCTCGGTGTGAGCACTTAGCACAACCGCCTTCGTAAACCTCAGTTTTGGTGTGCTGGAATAATACCTCGCAAAGACGCTACGTAAGTAAAGGAGGTTATGACAATCTCGGTGCCTAAGTACTCAAAAACATTAAAGGAAGGAACCTAGGACCCGTCGCCAAATGCAAAGCCGTCAACTGCAAGGACGATGGGGTTCGGAGCAGGGCTGGCGCTACAAGTATGACCCGGGCAAGTTACCGCATCCGGAGGAAAGGGCGAGGGCCGCTCCCCCACCCCGCCCGCATCTGAGCAGAAAGCGAATTTGCTTTCCAGGCGCGCGGCCGAAACAAAGCTCCCTTCTCCCACTGCGGCCGAGCTCGCCGTCCAGGCCGCCCAGGCTGGACCTCCGGGTGCTCCCTTCCTCCGGCTAGGGGTCCACCGCCTACTGGCGCTACCTTGTTCGCCATGTCCCCAGCTTCACTTTACCCAGGTGCACGTTTCAGACCGAGGCGTAGGGCACCAACTGTGGGAGGGGCGTGCGTATGGGCGGGGCGTGCGTGGGGGGCTGGACGTGCGCGGAGGGCGGGACGTGCGGGGGCGGGGCTTAAAATGAGCGCTGTGCGGCGCTTGAGAAACAAGCCTGCTTCGCCAGGCGGGTGTGTTTCCTCGCAAATGCTCTCTGGCTTCCTCCAGAAAGAGGGGCGCAAGAGCGAGCAGGGTGGGCTCCGGAACCTGACGCCCTCTGGACTCTGACTCTCCTGACAGGTCCTGACCAGGGGCAGTTGGGCGACGGGAGGACTTTGCGTGAGCGCACAGAACCTGGGCCACAGTTGGAGTATTTGTGGTGTACTCTCCTGCTTGTCGCAGAGACGGAGAGGTGGCCCTACTAAAACATCACATTTTGTCCTTTTCAAGGCTTAATTTTTGAGGAGGTACCATGATTCTGCCTAAAGTCCTTTCTTCCTTTCTAGTTCACACTATGGCTTTTAACTTCTGTATAATTTGTGAGGACCAGATTCTGTCTCCAATCAGGATGGCTTTCCTAAACTCCAGACTTGAAGTGCACAGTGTCTACTATGTCTGTATTAGGATATCTCCTAGTATTTCAAACTGAAGGACTAGCTAAGTCATTCATCACCAAGCCTTGATAGAATGCCTGGGTTGCAGAAAGCTGGCGTTATCAGTCACTTTCCTCCCTGTTGGGAGGACTGTTTGTTGAGACAGCCTTGAGCAAATTATCTTAAGAAGAGACCAAGATAAACCAGAGCAAACAGTGCCAGGAAGAAGGGGGGCCCTAAAGGGCCTCTAAACATCTCAAGAGAGCCCCTGATCTGCACGTACTCCGCCAGCCACAGCTATTAAATATGTCCCAAGGGCGCCTCCCCTGGGGCAGCAGTCAGCTTTCAGCACACGGGAAGGCTGCTGTCCCTCACTGAGGTGCTTCAATAAATTCAGTCTCGTCTTAGGTCAGGTATGGTCTCCTTTCTTTCCTATTACTCCTGTATTCTGCGCCCCAAAACCTAACTGCCTAATGTCAAATAACTGTGCACCAGACACAGTTCAAGCAGATTTCATGAACTCCCAAGAAAGCAAGAAAGATAAGTACTAAATGAGTTGAAGGATGAATTTATTAAAATGTACATAGCTACTTTATCTTGAGGGAATTGGCTTCTTTTCCTCTATCTCACTGAAGGAACTGGGTCAGTGGAGGTGGGCCTTAGGGTTTTATAGTCAAGCCCCACTTTCTGTCTGCTGTCTGTTTTCTGTTCAGCTAAGATGGAAGGTGAAGAATCCTGGTGACACACTCTGGCTACCATGGAGACTACTGTCTCCCTGCCTTCCCTGGATATAGTGTCTTCCTTCAGACTGAGAGTGGAAATACCCCTCCCTCCCTTACATTGCTTCATGTTAGGTACTTGGTCACAGCAACCAGAAAACTAACACGCAGACCATCAAGGAATGAGCCAATCTCACACAATTACTAGGCCCCTGTGAAGGATGAAGGCTTCTAAAATTCAGACGACTTTGAGAGGAGCATTTCTTGGTATCTAGGAGAGGAACAGCTAATAATAACAATAATAATAATTAAAAATAAGAACAGTAAGTACACGCTGATTTCCTGGAGTGAAATAAGCACCAAAGGCCTGGGGACTATGGAATTCTTGTCACAGAATAATATGAAAGCGTGTTAGTCATTTGCTCTGTGGAGGGAAGTGGCTGTTTTTAAAAGTGCTAGGCTGCAAAATGACAAAACAGGAATCCTAAAATGTCAGTTCAATGGCTCACGGTATGAACTGAAAGCTCAAAACTGTCTATGGTGATCGTTTCCTGAAACCATAAGGCTAAACTTGGTAACAGCCAAATTTAGGGTTGATCCTGTAGGTTACCAGTGACAGCAATGGCTAAAGTCACAGGAACACTAGTTCTCTTATGTGAAAACCAGGTTATTCATTGGAAAATAATAGGTCCCCCAGTGTTATAATGAGGCTATATTTAAAATTCCAGCTGAATCATATTGCCGTGAGTCCCTGATCCCTACTGATCTGGCCTCTCTGATGGGATGTCACTGCCTGATTTAAAGACCATGAGAGGACCTTACCTGAGCAACAGTCTTTCCTTTCCTCCCCTCTCCTCCCCTCCCCTCCCCTCTTTTCTTTTCTTTTCTTTTCTTTTCTTTTCTTTTCTTTTCTTTTCTTTCTTTTGGTCTTTTCTTTT